TATTGGTTCTCTTTTCATTAAATATATTTATATTTATATATTTATATATATTTATAATTATTTATATATTTATATAGGTAATAAACTATATGCATATATGTATATATTTATATCCTTGTGTATTCGTCGCACTCGAATCGCCGAGACGAGACTCATGCTTCAGGTAACGTCGACTGCGACCGTAAAGCGAGAACACACGGGCGCGTCTGTGGCACTTCTTATTCCTTCTTCGTAAGTATTCTTCTAACCCCTCTATCTCCCCCATCCAGCTCCCTTCCACTTTCCCTTATTCGTGTTCGAATTATCCTTGGTAATTTACAAATTGAAAATAGGGGACGAAGGACTTTCCCTTCTTAGCTCGTCGAACACGTGGTACTCTATTCTCTTTCTTCGTCCACGTCGTGTCATTCTCCGTTTTTTTATCCCTCGTTCGCCGTCGATCGGAAATAACGATGGATTCTCATCTTTCAAAAATAAGCGAGCAAGTTCACCGCCAGACGAGTTCCTTCAAATTGACTACGAAACTTGATGATTATCGGTCGAACGAAAAGAATTACTGGGGCTGCCTTCGCAGCCCCATTAACGGAGACACATTTAGCCGCTTTGGTAGCCGCTAGTAAGTGGGAAATCGACGATCTCCTCGTGACCGTATACTCCCCTCCCCCTGACCACCGAATTTCCTTCTGTACGTCCCAACGAGGACAAGTCCATACGTTTGCTAAGAATCGACTCAACTTCTCTCCATCGAGTAATTTCTCTAACGCACCATTGCAAACACTGGCGCACTCGTAACCGGTGAACCCAAAAGCCACGCGAGCGAACACCCTCGCGAAATCTTTCTATATAAACATCGCCGGATACGTCGCCATGTTCTGCGGGAGAGAAGTGATGTAATTAGGGGTGGGTGGTCGGGGGCTATGCCACTGTGGTCAGAGATCTCGAAGCTTCTTTAAGCCAGCTGTAACGTAGCGCACCAAATCGGGCAATGTACTTTTTAGGGTGAGGGGTCCCAATTTTTCATCAAGCTCGATGAAGAATTCTGGAAAACAAAAGCAGGATGCACACTTTTATTCCCTATAATTTTCAATTTTGAACGAAATAGGTCTAGTGATTTATCGCCTGATTGAAGATTCTATGCATTTATTTTTTATAGAAATGTTTTTGTACAAAATTTTATTAATATCGTGAACAGAAGAAGATGCTATTTAATTTCTAATAGCTAAAATTTAAAAGTCTACAACATTATGGCATCAAATCTATCATCGTAATTTATCTTATCGTCAGTGTTAACTGCTAGGAGACACAACTTCAGAGACAGATTTATACGTGGTTACAGAAAGCAGAAATAACAGTCAAACAAATTGAGGAATAAATAAAAAGCTGACGTCTTACCTCTATGCTTATCCGTCACCAGAGCGTTCGCCTGGTCCCAGAGGTCGTGACAGCTCAATAGCAAGCTGAACTGGTAATTTTGCTTTGCCATAGCGCTATGAACGCCAAGTGGAACGCTGACGTAAGGAGCTGCCTGTGGCTGACCGGAAGCGGCTCCTCGGTTCGCTAGTTCGCCGCTACTGTATCCGGAACTTTGGCTGCCTACAGAACCCACGGAACCAGCTGGCGATGGTGTCGGTGACAAAGACGGGGTTCCTTGTCCCTCTGGTTGCACCGGCGTTGCCTGAGCGGGCTGAGAACCGAATGTCGTATATTAACAACTTCTCTAAACAATTGAACCAAAAATGGAAGTCTTATCCCCATATTTCTATGCTTACCTTTTGATGATAGTCTGTGAGGATCTTTTGGGTCTCCTTGACTTCGTGTTTACGCATTTTGAAGAGCTTCAAGTAGATGAGGGACTGGCAAAAGAGGCTGTAACAACGACATCAGGATAACAACGTTTCGAAACGCGATCGCGCGATAGAGGAAAGATTTCGCAAGTGGCATGGCACTCACCTTAGAATGGCCAGCTTGTTATGTATACTGCTCTCCGGCGAGTTGTTCTGCTGGCTCTTGAACTTCGACGAGATGTACCTTGCAGGGGGAAAGAATCGGAGATCGCTTTAATTAGACAGAACTCTAGTGCTCTTCGTTGGTTCACGGTTAATTAGAGATCTACTCACTTGATGAGACTGAGAGTATCCTTGTACATGGTGAACGACGCCCTCTCAGTGAGAGGATCTGACTCCATGGCGTGGCCAGTGAGCAGGAAACAGAGAACGGCTTCCAAGTATAGCATACCCTGCGCTGTGAGCTCGCACTCCTTGTCTGCGCTGTGCTTCAGCCGTTTCGCTTCCATCAGGTACTGATTCTGGTCCCTGGAAATGAATACAACAAATTAAATCGCTGTCCCTCTGAGAGATGTTTTCTACAGTTTTTACCGGGAGAAAGAAGTAAGTCCATTACTTACCACCTATCCTGATCCTCCAAAACTTCGTTCTGAGGATTGAAGTAGGAATAATAGACGCGCTGAGGCGGGGGTGGTGGCGGCAAGAGACTCGTGTCAGGCTTTTCTTCCCGTTCGTGGTTCGTTGGCTGTATACCACTTTGCTGTATAAGAAACATTAACAAAATCCGTATTATACTAATCTAAGTCAACTACACGCAGTAGGATTGTATTAAAGACAAGAATGTCTAACAAGAGCAATTCCAACAATAGAGTTACGCTGTTCGTTTGCTCATTCGAAATGAAATTAAACAATAGCAATTAAAGGGGATTCACGTAACCCGTGATAAGATTCGCCTACCTGACTAGAAGACGGCCTAGACACAAGAGCCTCGACGTCAGCGTGTTTCCTCTTCTTTTTCTTCTTCTCTTTGTGCTCGCTGGAGCCTTTCGCCTTTGACTCCGTGGCACACACAGTACTCAAACTGGACACAGAACTACAACTCGGATTACGTTTCCTCTTGGGCGCGCTACCCGCGCCACTAGCACCACTACCACTTGCACTAGCACCAGCACCAACGACACCGAGGATGCCGCTCTTCGAGTCCGATATCGGTTCGCATTTGATTACAGCGCGGTTTTTATGATCACCGTCGACGATCACGTCACCGTGGATCCGCGTGTCCGTGGACAACTGTTGGGGCGGCGGTGTGTCGACTATCTCGCCTTCTTCTGGCGTGGGTGGTCGCGGTGGTTGAGCGGCCAACGACGCCGCCTGCTTCGTGGACGGCCTGGTGTCCGGTAGCTCGGTGCGTTCCCTGAACTCTTGCCCCCTGGAGAGCTGCGATATATGCGAGATCCGACTCAGATCGATCCTGCAGAATAAACTCGGCACACCGTTCACGTACGTGAGCGGCGGGAACGATTGAATGACGCTGGAGGCCTGCGACGACGGCCTTTTGTACGGACTCTCGCCCCCGGTCGGTGTGTTCGCCGAGGTGGTGTACTCCTCCACGTAGATACCACATTTTCCACCGCCTTTTCCACCCTTTCCGCCCTTTCCGCCACCCTTTCCACCGCCCACCGAGGTGGAGAAAACCCTCCGGAGCGTGTCGCTCTTCTTCTTGTCCTGCACATTGCCTGCGTCTTCTTCTTGTAGCTTCGGACCTGGACTGTTGTCGCTGTCCGAGTTCTCTGGGGATGTTGTCCTCGTTTGCGGCAATCTTGGTCTGGGGGGTACCCTGTCCACATGGATAATGATTGTGAAACTGGTTCATGGATAGTATTATAATATAGGTAACTATTTATTTGGAAGATTTAAGAATGAAGCGGAGGCGATCTAACCTGTTTGTTTACAAATCTAATCGAATACTACAAAAGTGTAATTCCTTACCTGGCGACTTGGATATGACTGTTCCTCACCGACACCTCGGACTCGCTATCCGAATCCGAGCCAGCGGCGGTTACACGTGAACTGGATCTCCTCGATTTCGCTTTAGTCGGGCTCTTCTTCTTCTCCTGTTTCTTCGGCGAGTCCGCGAGTTTGTTCCTCTTAATGGAGACCCTCCTCCAGCGCGAGGTATCGTCATCGGAGGCACTATTATTCTTCCTGGTCGGCGTGGTCTCTTCCTCGCTGGAAGAACCGCTCAGACGCGACCGTCTCTTCTCGTTCACCGGGGCGACCACGGGCGACACTCTGACCGGTCGATCGCTATCGGAATCGCTGGAAGCACCCTGGGGGGATCTGTCGTCGCTGCCATCGTCGCTGGTAGCGATGGTAGGCTTCGAGATCGGTTGCTTCTTCTTCATCGGGCTGCCCACACCTCTCGTTCTGCTGCGAGGTTTCCCATTCTTGATACTCTCCTCGGACGTACGGTGGCTAGCCTTCGGGCTCTTCGTCGGTTTTCTGGGTCGTCCTCGTTTCCTTGCGTCGGCCACCTTTGGTTTCTCCGTGGGCGCACGAATTTCCTCGACAGGTTGAATCTTCTCTTGGTCCGAGTGATGATCGCTGTCGCTGAGTTTAGTTATCAACGAGTCGGTGTGCGTCCTCTTCAAGGCCTCGTCTAGCTTCCTGTCGTGACCGGGCTTCTCCCAGTGCGTCCTCGCGTCAGCTTTGAAGGCCGGGGAGCTCTCTCGCCTGTTGCAATCCTGGTGACACATACAAATGTCCCTATTAAAAATCGAATCCTCCGACAGGAGATCGGTTTAACCCCTTGCCTTATAACATGAGTCATACACGTGATGACGATTTCACTCTGCATTTAATAAACATTTTCCCTGAACTGAAACTGCCACAAGAGTAGAATTCCTTATGTATCCGGGAAATCATTAATAAAAAAAAAAGGAGATAATGTATATGTAGGAGATCTGATTGGACAGACGGTCTGTGGAGACGTTTCTCCCAGTCGCTTGGGTTTTTGGTAGCGGCCGCTAGGTGGCGAGTTTTCTCGCAAGCGGTAATTAGAGCCTTTGGCTACTTAAGGGGCTCCGCTGAGGAGCAACCCAGGCGTCTGGGGTAAGGGTTGTCTACCGTCAGGCCCACTGACGAGTCTTGGTAGACGATTCCCGAGACGAAACGCAATCTCTTTGATCCGCCTACGTATAGAAATTATCGATACGCACCTGCGTCTGCTTGGTTTCCGTATTTTGCTCCCCATGAGGCACAGCCGGCTTGTTGAAGAAAGAGCTAAGGTTCCACCTGGGTTTCGACTCCTCTATCGCGGGAGCTGATTCCTCGATCACATTGTCGGTCTTCCGTAACACGGATGGAGGGGTCGAGGGACCCTTGCCCGGCTGAGTGCTGGTCTCATCCTCGGAATCGTCGCTGCTGTCCGACCCGGAATCGGAGCCGGAATCAGAGCTGGAGCTCGCGCTTCCCGAACTCTGCGGCGCCTGGCCCGGTGGGCTCGGCGGCCTCTGGTGAATCGCAGGGCTCAGCGAACCCTTTGACTGCAAAGGGATCACCGGCGAGGGCGGCAACACTTGTTCAGGTGTCATCTGCTTTGGCGGTGTCGACGGTCTGCTCGGTCTGAGAGGCCTCGGGGAAAACGGTCCCATGGGCGACATGGGCGCCAGGGGCGGAGGCGCCGGCGTCATCAAAGGCGTCGACAGACTGTGAGTGAAATGCACGTTTCTTAAATCGGTAGCGGATTTGCTCGCTGTGTTGAATATCGTGGACAATAGTAGAGAACAGACAACGCGGTAAAGGGGATTCTGATTAAGGTCCATGAGATTTAGGTTCTATTGTAATTAATAATTCAGTATTTAGTTTCATTTCAAAACATCTTTTCTGATTTTTATTTGGGAACAATTCTATAGGTTCTTGGAACTAAATGGCAATTAATTAGAAATAATGGCGTATTTATTGATATATCTAATGAATTGTTTTAGTCCGATGTAGAAGTTAGGTAAGCTATAGTCCAGGATTCATCGAACCATTGCGATATTCGTAGTAATTAATAGGTTTCATCGAAGTAATTGGTACTTACTCGACCGTATGGTCAGGGGTTCTGTTACCCCTCGTCGTCTGCGACGGCGTTCCCTGTAAAAATAAACCGTCGCAATTACTATCGAACTTCTTACAGCAGGAAATTGCGATTTTCCAGTCGCGATCGTTCTGTATATTTTTTCTGCCAGTCAAAAGTCGACTTAATAATTATACAAAGTTATAAAATCAATTGTATCGACCAGAGCGTTCACGATATAAACACTATAAAAATCTTTACTACAGAACACTCTATTCCTAGTAGACAGACGCAATAAACGCCCATACAGTGGACTTCGATCCCACTTAATTAATTTAAAGACTCGCTTACCTTGCCCGCTTCATCCTCGCTGTCCTCGGACAAGCTCAGGTCCCTCTCTAAATCACTGCAACAGAGGAAAAAAAAATTGTCCATTATTACACCGGGATAAAAAATGCAAATAAACGTCGACGAATGCAACCCGTCAATTTATCAACGAGATTCGAAGGAGATGCGTAACGCTATTTAAACACCACGCGAGTGCAGATTGTTCGCGAAATAAAACTGGTTCGTGGCGGGCTATGAAGTCGTCGGATAAAAACAGGGGTTGGAAAAAGAGAACGAGACCCGCCCGTCGGTGGATAAGGGGGAACGAGGCACTCACGATTAGAATCAACAAGAAGAAGAACGTGTGCACGGGGAGAACGCGTGCCGGTGGCAACCTGTGGAACACGAACGATGCGAGGCGAGGTTGAAACAATCGTTCATTGATCTCTGAAACCGCTGTTTCACGCGGCCTCGCCTCCTCCGACGGTTTCTTTGTCATTGGGTCCCGTACCTCTCGTTTCTCGCATTCCCAGCTGACGCTTTCACTTTTGTCTTCCGAGCGATCGGGAATCGAAGACGAATCAATTGGGATTTACCAGTCTACTAAAAAAAGTAGCGACTGATGGTCTACCATAGGCTTTGCTTTTCAAAAGATCTTCTATCAAAGAAGAGGAAATATTATTGGTTGGAAACATTTAGTTTACACTGAGACTCTTATGACACTCTGTTACGTGTAATCGAATAAACCTCGTCGAGATTTTTTTAAAATGTTGCATTCTATTCTTGGACTTGGAATCCAACAACCTTTTTTAGTATCAAGGTCTTCAAATTCCGTTTGAATAGTTACAATTGATTTGGAAATGGGAAGAGACAGAATAAGAAGAAAAATTTGTTAGAATTCTGAACTAGTTGTTATCCAAGAGTCTAACAGGGGGAGAATCTGACCATAGCTCAGTATCTCAATTGGCCTGGATTAGCTGAGATTCCTTCGCTCCCTGTAACGTCTTAGAACCCTATTTTCGTGATCTCTGGACACCTCCATAGGTTTACCCTCCCTGGATATAGCTTTCGCCCCCATTTAGCAAAAAGAACCTCGTCGGCCAGCCAACCCTTGGGGGGCTACACCCTATTCTTGGCTGTCTACCTATACCAAAGTAGATGAAACTTTTCTACTTTCTTTGTCACCCTCTCACTGGGTTGAGTAACAAAAATGTCTTCTAACTTTTAGACAATTTAATAACTACGTTATAACACGTTTATTGGCTTCTGGGAGAAATTGGGGTTGGTGTTTCTAAATATGTCAATCAGTGATGTGTAACATTTCTTTTGTTTATGAAAAAAATACAAGTATCTTATTTTTAAAATAACTATTTATGGGAGAAACACGAGTGATTGAACAAGAAACAGAAAAACATTTTTTTTTTAATTTAACCACTGTTATCCCTTTGGCAGACACACCTCTTAATCCTTGGAGTATGAACCGTTAAAGTAGACAGCTGGGACAATCGTGACCCTTAACAATACACAATATAGCGTAAATAATTGACAATCGGTGAAGGCAGCGTTCGCCTTGGAGCAATGGGCTTTTCTAAACGTCTGAAAGCACACGGTACTGAGTACAGAGTCAGAGGGTTAATAAAGTGAAAGCGTGTCATCCTTTTGTATGATCACGCTGGGCCTCGTGTTGCGCAATTGCCTTTACGAAATCTGTGCAAACGGGTTTAAATTCTGCTTCGTTCACTGTATTCACTAAACCATTTCTCTAACTTTCATCTTTTCTAGAGTCTAAATAATTTCTTCTACCGCAGAACACCATTGTTTCCCACTAATGCATAAATAAGGAACATATTATACAATCCAGCGGTAATTATTAGGTGCGCACAGAAGAAAGACTATTGTATTTAACTTATTGTGGTTTCAATTTATTCTATCGACATGGGAGTCAACATTTGTTAAAGATATGATAGAACGTTACAGAAACTGGGGGTTACTGCGTCAAATAAGAGATATTATATTACTTACTAATACAGTAATAATGGAAGTCAGGTCAATGTCCCCATTACTGCCAGTGTCCCGAATACTGCCACTTTATATATTTTATTTATTAAGAAGGTAACATAACAATGCAATAAACTGCCTGGGAGGCAAAAGAAATCTGTTTTTAATTCTGCCTTTGTAAATTCCTGTATAAAATTTTATTTTCCATACAGATCTGCAATCTACTTATCACGATACTCTCCCAAGAGTACAAACTGTGTCACTCAACATGTTAAATAAGTTACGGTCCCATAAAAATAGCCAAGATCGCCGTATCGGAGTGTCCCTTTCACTGGAGGAAGGACAGCTCAGCTTCCTTTTCCCCGATAGTACATTTATCATCGTGCAAGAGGGCACCGAATATATCGACATCCTGTCGTCCAACGACGAATCTCTCTATCCGGCCCGCGTTTAAGTCGGTGACCGGGCGTAATCGCGCGTGTGGGTCTCTCCTCTATAGAGATAAGCAGGCCATACACGGTGAGGTTTACCTCGAGGCCTGGCCACGCGAGGTTGCCTCACATTAGGGGAGCTGAGTCTCCCGAAGCCTCGTTGTAATCTATAGCGGGATGGTAGGAGACGTTCCGAACGCATGGACGAAGATTCTCGAACGAATCTTCGGGTGATGTGCGTGAGTGAGCAGGCTGAGAAAGAGTCACAGAGGGTGAGGCGTGCGGAGTCCGACGAGAGCGAGCGGCAGAAAAATATCACTAGTTATTACTTGAGTATCACTAGTTCTTACTTCACTATCACTAGATTTTATTTCGTTATCACTACCTTTTACTTCGTTATCACTAGTCTAAATTTGTTATCACTAGTTTTTACTTCCTTATCACTAGTCTCAATTTGCTATCACTAGTTTTTACTTCATTGTCACTGGTTATCACTAGTTTTTACTTCGGTATCCCCAGTTATCACTAGTTTTTACTTCGTTATCACCAGTTATCACTATTTTTACTTCGTTATCCCCAGTTATCACTAGTTTTTACTTCGTTATCACCAGTTATCACTAGTTTTTACTTCGTTATCACAGTGATAACAAAGTAAGACTGGTGATAACTAGTGATAAGAAATAAAAACTAGCGATAACGAAGTAAAAATGAGTGATAACAAAGTAAGTCTAGTGGTAACGAAGTAAAAACTAGTGATAACGAAGTAAGACCTAGTGATAACGAAATACGAACTAGTGATACCGAAAGTATAACTAGCAATACGAAAGCAGCAACTAGTGATGCTAAAGTAACAACTAATGGTGCTGAACTAACCACTAGTGATGCTGAAGTAACAACTAGTGATTCTGATATATGATTGCATCTATCACACATATAGGCTTCTCAGTAGGGGTAAACTACCGTTGACACGTTTATGATCACGGCAGTTAAACGACAAAGCAGGCGGCTTACCTCTTGTCGCGTCCGTCCGCGTGGATTTCTCTTTCGAATCCGCCTGGAGTTGTAAATTCCAGGCTCGACCGTCGTGGTACGCGTCCGGTTGCGAACTGTTGCCCGCCAAATTAATATTAGGCAACTGTTTCAATTTCTTTAGTGAGAAAAACGAATAATTGCTCGACCGTTGGAGCTGGCGAATCGTGATGCGAATGTTGTCGAATGATTGTTCGATTGCGAGTTAATGCGAATGAATTGAGTCCGTGTGACTCTAGTCGTAACGAGTATGTTTTGCGAACGAGTGTTTGCGAACGAGTGTTTTCTATTGAATGTTTTCGACTGAATGTCTCTTTTCGACTGTATGTATCTTTTCGACTGTGTGTATCTTTTTTCGTGTGACGTCGCGCTTCCTCAAAGTTTGATGAAGGCGTGACCAAAACTCGCCTCCTTATTGGTGATGCCCTGAAGGGGAAGGCAAATTTCTCGGGTTTTTCACGCGACGCGGAGGTGGAATACCTCTCCTTCAGGGCGAAGCGGACGTCAGGAAAATATCGCGCACGTGGTCGCGGTGCGAGTTGACCGCGACGAATTTTCGAGTCTCTCAACGGTAGGGTTTTATGATTATATTGTCTGCGAGTCAGCGCGCCCCGGTAAGGCCCGGCGCGGATGGGTCCCAGGTTACCGAGCGCATGTGGCGGACTGCAGACCAAATGTTCGCTTCTTTTGTCTATTATTCTCTTTGTGTTAACGAAATTAAAATTGCAAAGGGTCGGTCTTGCAAAATATATAAATTGACTGAAAAAAAAAGGAATAAAATAATAAAAAGTAACGGTATCGTCTGACTGTATAACCGTCGTTTCGGTCTACGACGGAACACCTCTCGACCCTAGTAGCGAGCGATTCACCCTGTATACATTTTGCTATCGCTCGCTCTAGTCGCACTCCGCACCCTCTGTGACTCTTCCCCAGCCTTCTCACTCACGCCTATCATCCCAAGGTACGAACCTTCGTCCGTACGTTCGACACGACTCATATCTTCCCGCTACAGATTACAAGGAGTCTTCGAGAAACCCAGCTCCTCTAACGTGAGACGACCTCATGAGGCCAGGCCTCGAGGTAAACCTCACCGTGTATGGTCTGCTACAGAGGGCCACGACGCGGCGAATCGAGGAGTGGCAAAGGGGGAAAAAAGAGAACACAAAAAAGAACGAGGATGGTCCTTTCACCCTCGATCACCGAGGCACGCGATGGATCCCATCGCCGTCGCGGAGATGCTACACTCCGAGAGTTGGCGGGCAAAGTGAACGCGGGCGAGGAGGAGAAGCGGAAAGCAGCGGCGAGAAGTAGCTACACAGGGAGGCAAAGTGAAAGAGAGGTCGGTGCTGGGCAAGATAAAGGGGGAAAGCGATGCGCCGAACGCGGATGTTAGCGAGGGGTCGTCGACCCTAAACACGCTTGTCCTGCGTCTCCACGTCGGCTCGCGTAGACATGGCCGACCGTGGCTGTGATGCTGTGAACCGTGTCTAAGGTTGCTTACATGGGAGGATCCCAACACTGCTCTCGACTTCGATTTCAACTGGGGTTTTTTACAAGGTGATATATCTGTGGTTGTAACGGAAAACGACGAATGTCACAACTTTCAAGAAATTTCAGTTTA